AAATAATTCTATTATTGTTATACTTAAAAATATAACTGAATTTTTCAAGTTAGATGCCATGATCAGAAATAGAAAAGAAACATAAAAACAGAGTACGCCCTGCAACTTCTAGTGATCAATGAACCAGGTTAATGGGTATCAGAAAACTCGTTGATATTTGAACAATACCGATTTTAGTGGAACTAATAAAAACCTTGGTTCAATCGTCTAGATCCTTAAGATGCACGGTGTAATCAAAACTTCAACCCTCACTTACTGACGAGTATATCCGATTTGGAAAGTGGTGGCAATTTACAGAATTAATTATAAATGTATAAAACAAAAATCGACACTGAAAATCTCTACCGAAAAGACCTCATACTTCTGAAATTGCTTTCTTTTAAAGTTTACCCGTAAGCTTAATATATGTATACGTGTAACTATTTTTTTAAATGAAGCACAAAAATAAAACACGCATTGGAAAAATGTATCACTGTAAACGTGGTTATTTACGCTGGGCGAAAATTTCGTGATTTGAAGGTAAAAACTATACGTACGACGTTTACTGTGCAGAGTTATCTCCCTTACTTTAGAAAATGTGTACAGGTAAAAATACTAGTAGCTACTAAGTACATGTTACATATGTGTACCGATTCATGGTCATTGGACAGATGAAAATATAGGTGAACTGCATTTATTCATGTGTATGTGTGTGTCTTATACCAGTTGATCTCGTAATCAACCGGAACCAAACAGGTACATTTAAGTGCTATTTAGTAAAATAAAAACAAGCACGTTTTGCAAATAACAATGAATCTCGATGCGTTCCTTACACTATCGTCGAAACCAGTAAGTCATGAGAGCGATATCTGCATTACATACTTAACACATTAAGAGACTTTGCACTCTTTGTTGTCTAGGATATATAGAATAAAAACACCAAAAACTAAAAATAATAATAAAAACAACAACAACACGCATATCACGCAAAGACATAGTTTATGAATAGCGTATTTCCCAATGAGATCATAATTATAGTTTTCCAAACTATAATTAATAAATATCTGGTTTTTTTAATTTGAGGCGCAGCAACAAATTCCAAGACTTACCAATCGTAGTTCATAATAAAGGATATAATTATAAGTATCAAATAATGAAAGCTGTCTTTTCATTCAACATAGATATTTCAAAAAGGCAGAAAGGCCTAGCGGTCAATCTTTTACTTTGTTATTTTATTCTACAGTATATATAAAATGTATACACCTTTCTACATGGAGTAATATGTTTATCTTCTGAAGTAATCCAGAGTTGCTATGTTTTATCTATTATACACAGGTTAGTTCCAACGCTCTGGAGACGTGCCTTAAAAGTCCAAACATCTTTTGAAGATTGGCCATGTCATCACGAAATGCATTGTGATTCTATGTTATCTTCTTACATGATTAAAAACAAAATAAACAGTTGTATGTGATGCCTTAGACGATTTGGCCGATTGAGTGCGGATTGTATATCGCTGACAGATCAAGATCAGATGTTAAACTCCGACCTGGTTAAGTTTGGTTTAGTATTGTTTAACGTCCTATCAACAGCTATGGGCATTTGAGGACGGGCACACAACGCAAGACTAACGTTCTAGTATTTAGAACTAATGGTGTGGAACAAACGTCTTCTTTCACTCAGTGTTCCACAACTTTACCCACAGTTTATCATACGGTATACCTTTAAACGCCATTTTATTGTTTACAAATACCAAACAAAGCCTTCTCTCATGTTGCTGTCATGTTTTGGTTTATCGCGGGCATCTCTCGTACTTTTACGGAGCTTTAACCCAACCTAGCAATCTGTAATAACATTTCAGCTCTCACTCCATATTATTAGTTGTATATTCAAAAGGCAGGCACACAACTTAACCATATCACTAATTAGTGTGATTACCATGTATATATTGTGGTCACTTTTATCACTTTTCTTCTACAACAGTAGGGACGTACCCAACATGTAAGCTGGTATAGAACAATCTCAGTAAATATTGTGCAAAAACGACAATACACCTAAAGATTTATTCTATTCATAAATGATCCCGTCAAAGTCGGTTGTCTAATCCTTTTACTGTTACTCGTAATTCATCAAGACTAAATTCTACATATACAGCTCAATATAGAAACATCCGCTGTCTACATAATTTTGACCAGTACTGACAAGATAACTATCAACTGCTGTCTAGCTACCGCTTTAAGATAACAATACAAATCATTTGAAGACAAACTTCCGGGTTCATACGTCTTTCGTCGAGATAAAATTCTATCAAAAAAACGTTTAGATAATTTTTCCTCGAGAATTCAAATATATTACCCTTCTTTCGATGCTAATTGTGTTTAATCCTTACCTCGTACATGTGGCTAAAATATTTGCTTTCTTCTCACAAACTAAAATCTCCTCGTTGCCCGCTGTCCTAATCTGTTGAAAGTTATTGGTGGTCGGATGATGCAGTGGATAGCACACTTGCCTTTCACCAAGAGGGCCGGGGTTCGATTCCCCGATCGGACGTGAAAAGGTTTGGGGTCACCTACCCAACCACGTGGGGTTTCTCCGGGTACTCCGTTTTCCTCCCACAATAAGACCCCCGCCCGCTATGATCCGTGTCAACAAAATGACCAATAAAAGTTGAAATAACTTTCATATTTTTTGTAAGTTAAATAATGTGTAAAAGAAGCCACTGTGTGTCATGTTCCCTGACCTTACGTCGAGACTCATGATCACATCATTCATTACAAGTAATTACAATTTTCTCTCGTGATACTAAACTTTTCATAAAGAGTATATTGTTATTTACAAACACTTCCACATATGAATCAACACTGTATTTTATATTCCCCTACGCATGAGTTTGAAATCGAGACCACGTTTCCATTTACAAAAACAGCATAGTTCACACTACACTGCAGCTTCTTCCGTCCATCAAACAGACTGGATTAAACAAATAAAACATGTGTGTGTATGATACACGTAAATACAATTGTGAAAACCAGCAGCTGCTTGCCAGTGGGACTCAATTTCATTGTAAAAATATGGTAACGATTTTATAACGACATACACGTATATACGGACCTTAACCGAATATCCTATATACAGCTTCTAGGTCCATGGAAACTCTTGCATACAATATGTCCCGTGGAAATCCATGGCTTTGTAGACACCACCTTGTGGATGATGTAAGTAGGCTATTTTGATCCTCTGATAAACATCAAAAGAATCGCGCGACAGTGTAGCAGTAAAGGTATGTAGCGTTAATATGACAGGTATCAGTCTAGCAAATCGTCAAGTGTTTTTTTCTCCTGAAATCGATGAAACTGCTAACCATGTCCCCTCGATGTGATCATGACATATTCCAGGTGAGCAGAGAGAGTAGGAGAGAGTAGCTTCTAGAAATTGACGATGGGATCATGGAAACTCTGAATCAATCGTTCTGTAAAGATAGAGTGAAACTGCCATTAGAGCTGGGCCAGAAAGGAGGTCGATTGAGCTGACATGTAACGACTTACAACCGGAAATGTTTACGATTTTGTCAAGTACCACATTTAAAATCACAAAAAATGGGCGCCGGAAATGCCAGGGAGGAAATATTACGATTAGATAATATTATATAAAAATAAGGAAATAAAAACTAAGCGTACGTATTGTGTGTAGTGTTAAAAGGTCCGGGTACATGTACAGTACACTTTCAGCCGCGAGGACAGTCACAAGGAAGATTCACAGCGATCACTGCAGTACGTAAGTTTTGATTTGGAAATATAATTGCGTTTGGTTTGGAGTCAATATCACGAGCAGACTAGTATAATGGGAGTCTCTCTTGTGTATCTACGGGAACTTTCGCCCATGTCAACTCGTCCTACGCTGTTAAAATCAGTATTCGCCTAGTGTTCATTTCGCTTTTCACATTTGATAACTATGTCCATTACATTTGCTGTAATGACGGAGGGTAAGAAGGACAAAAGTTCAACTACGGCGGAAAATTCAATGCATAGAGTATCTGCTATAAGATAAAAAAAAAAACATCGACGAATTCTCCTCCTTTTTATGCAGACAGAAATTATTGCAGATGTCATAATTCTTTGATACTTCCTTGTGTTTCACAATTAATTCACTTCAGCATATTCCCGACATAGGTGGATATTTGTTAAAGGGATTAAATGTACATACATAATAAATATAACTCGAAGTTGCCAATTATTCAGTGGTCAGTTTATCTAAGGCTTATTAAGGATTGAGTTCACGGTTACACTTAAACCACTAAATCTGGCCGCGCCGAGTTAAAAACAAGATTTGTTTGCACCTTCCTTTTAATAAACATCAATAGTACTTGTTGAGTAATCAGAGCTGAGCGAGTATCTTTGAAATAGTACTAGTGTTTGTAAGTCTGTCGAATGCTGATTTCGAGCGCTGTCGACTGATTACTGGATTTAATTGATTTAAATAACATTTGGCAGAAAGTATGACGTCAATGTTTATAGCTTATCGTCTGTCGACTGAAAAATTAAAAACAGAATCCTTCTCAAATGTTTCCGGGTTAAATAGACAAAATATAACAACTTCCCACAAAGTCAGAAATGATAAAGAAAACGTGCAGCTTGTTGTGAAATGAAGACATGGAGGAATCACGTGATGTAAGCACGAACAAAAGAACAACTTCCTCATTAGATAAGCTAGGTCACCTTGCTTATCAAAAGCGTATGGACGCTGAAAAAGTTACGTTGAATGACTTAAGAACTGAAAAATGACTGTTGTGCAGTTAATTGTTTATAACTAGTCACAGTAGGATGTACTTTTAAGTGACCAGTCATTAATCCTAATTTCAATTTCTGTACATATTACTTTAAAAAAAATGGACCTATTCCTACGTAACACCTACATGTCTGGTTTCGCACGACTGATGAAATGGTTAACTATATCAGTTAATATACACATATAATTTCCCTTCAGAATGGCCTCAACCGGAAGTTCATATTATCGGGAATCCCGCTCGGGCTATATTTAGATCAATGACGGCCTAGACAGTAAGGAAAATGTTGCTTTTGGTCTGAATCAGAGTATGCTCAGGTCTAAATGTACACTAAAAGGCATTCAGTAATGTTCTAAGAAATTTTCAACCGAACATTGCTGGTTTTGAAGCGGAAGCGTAGCCAGGTCTCGCTAACAGGGTCACCGATCATCTAGGCCTGCTTGTACAATCATGTATGTATTTATTTATGTACTACATGATGTACATAATATTGAACATTGTTATACGTGAACGGGCGTGTGTACGTGTTACATGCATTACATTCATGTTATTATTATATGTAACAAACAATATAAACTAAGGTTTTGAACAACACTGTACATGTATGAACACGTGTTATTGCTACCGGCTCAGATTATGTACGCTGTATGTTTTGTTATGTAAAGATTTATAGAAAACGTCCTTGGGTTCTCCGTAGAGGTAATACAATGATATAGTGTTGGAAATCGAAAGTAAAAGTTTTTATTTCTATTCGTAGAAGAAAATACATTTAATATGTATTTACACATTTTTTTTACTTAACTGTGTTTATTTATTATGCACACATAAATTAACATAAACTATGTCAAATACATAGATTAATATTTTGTATTATGAAATCTTAAATCAACACATATTTACTATTCATACACAAAATAAACATATTTATTGTACATACATAGATTAAACATATTAATGATGCATACATATATATATATAGGTTATCAAATATGTATTGCGCATATATGTTTAATAAAAACATATTATACCAACAGAAATGTAATAGCACATATTACATACATACAATATGAACATGTTTATTATACAACTTTAAACACATTTTTATTATATATACGTTAATAAACATTACTTCGTACAATATAGATGAACATATGTATTATACATGTACATATAAATACATATTATACGATCATATTTTTGTTTGGCATACACAGCTTAACACATATTTATTTTAGTCATCGATTGACGTATATTTATTATACATACTAATCTGAATAACGACTAGAATTAAGATGAAATAAAACCCCAAAAGCGGAACGCCTAGTACATGTAGAACTTGTGCAAGTCTAGATGTTTGCAAGTAGACTTGTACAAGTCCCACATTTCCCCTGTGAGTATGAGCTTGATCCCTACATACATAAGTACACATTGTGAGCTGGTTAGGTGTACCATAATCAGGCAATATCATTTTTTTAATAAAATATATATGTCTAATTGCAGTAGCGTTACCGCTTTCAGATATTTTTAACATGTATTTTCACACGAGCTGTCAGTCAATATCTTATTTTACAGGTACAAAGATGTCAGATAAACTCGAGTATATCAACCACACAATACTGGAGTGTCACAGAGACGAAGTATCGGCCTACCTGTGGGAGCATGGCTTCGTGAAGACTGTGTGGTTCCTTGTAGAGAAGGTATGGGACAACATTACTATCTCTGAAGCTGACAGGGTTTTGAAAGCACGAGATGAAAGTAGCCCCCTTTATCGGCTTCTGTTCAAAGAGTACAACGTAGAGGAACATTTCAGACAGGTCGATTCTCACAGAGAGTGGATAGTGAAAGCTTACGAACGTCTGAAAGACTACGTCCCCCATATGACCATTGAAGATGCCAAGCTGCACGATCTTAGCAAATACGACTTTGTCCAGGCTATAGGCTACACCGCAAAGTGGGTGCATGATGTGGACTGGGGAAACGAGACTTGGCAAGCATCTCTGAATGACCACTACAGGTTTGGAAAATTTAAACCCATTTCATCGCGCAAATTCAAGTGACAAAAATGTAGAAATCGGCCTGACTGAATACAGACAGCTTTTCGAGTTTTGATCAAGATTATGCATATCAGTTGTATAAATATTTTCTAGAACTATAGTCATTTACTTTGTATGTACTTAATTTGTTATGGACATAATAATATCACAACGCGGTCTGTTTTCCTAAATAAGTTGCATTGCTTTTTAAGTGCGTACCAGAAATATAGAATCTATCGAATATGCCTTGCACTGAAAAGTGTTTTGATGGAAAGTCTCTATGTGTTACTAGTTTGCATACCAGTATTCCGTCTTTGCGTATTGCAGAGTTACCTCTCTTATGAGCAGGTATTGATTGTTACGTCATTGGTTTGTGTGAGAAAATTACGTCGTTTTCTCAAAGATTGATGACGTTACTCTCACAAACAAATGACGTAACAATCAATCCCTGCTCCCAAGAGCAGATAACTCTGCAATACGCAAAGACGGAATAGATTAAGCCTTGTGCAACCTGCAATAGAAGAGTGAAATAGCTATGTGTTTTCATTACTTACAGGCGTGAACGACATCATCCCCAGTTCTACCCCAAAGGTCAGAGGATGCCCCGGAAGGACTTGGAAGAAAGCCTGGTCGACATGGTTGCCAGCCGCTGGGAAAGACAACTGGAGGGAAATGACCAGGCGTCTAATGTTGAACTTGTTGAGTTTGACTCAAAGTATTTGCTGAGGTAAGATGTTTCATATGTGCCTATTAATTATAACTTGATAAATACTTGTAAATGTATAGGAATTGTAAAAGAACGTATACAAATATATTAATATGAAAAGGATATGCATGTATGAAAATAAGCTGGGAAACTGAGTTCTATATGGTATATACTATATGTATATTTTAAAGTACAATGTTTGAAATTATCCCCGTGGTTCTATTTATTATAATTTCCTGATATAATCCTTATATTACCCTGTGATAAATTTATGTATGTATTGACTTGTAATATGCTGTGATATTTTCTAATGTTCTAAATGCAATTCTGTGATATCTATTGATACAATATAATAGGTTGTCTTAATAATGTATTGTACTATTTAACTGCTTTTTCTATTTTATTGTATGTCATATGTCTCTGTATGCGTGATGTGCTGTTGTTTTATGTATGTATTTATAATGTGTTTTACAGGGCCATATTGTAAACTAGATAAAAATCTAAATATGTTACCCTGTCTAAATAAAAGAATTTATTATTATTATTATTATTAATTGTTTCTTCACAGATACTGCAAAGAAGACATTGCCGATGTGCAGGCTTTGATAGGTAAAATCAAACAGGGCGACATTACAGAATATCGATGGAAGCTTATAGCGTCGGTTACTCCAGAATCAAAGAGGGAAGATGTCCAAGTGTTCTTCAAGGAAAACGGATTTGTCCAAACCATATGTCATCTGTACGAGACGGTCTGGGACCCGGATTCCATAGCACTAGCAGAGAAAGGACTGAAGGATCGGGATCCCGATAGTCCGTTCTACCAGTTACTATACATCGAGTATGACGTCCAGGAACACTACCGCCAGTGTGACTCTCACAGATTCTGGATCATGAAAGCCTACGAACGTTTAAAGTCGAATAATTTCTTAACAGAAATGACGGATGAGGAAGCCAAAGTTCACGATTTGAGTAAATATGACATTTCCCAGTCAATTGGCTACACCGCCATGTGGGTTCACAAAGTCGATTGGAACAACAAAACATGGCAGACCGCTCTAAACGACCACTACAGACGAGAGAGCCACCATCCGCAGTTCCACCCTAAAGACAAGAGAATGCCCCGGAAGGACTTGGAAGAAAGTCTGGTCGACATGATCGCGTGCAGGTGGGAGCGGGATTTAAAAGGAGACGAGAAAACAACCTGGCAGGATTTGGTAGATTTTCATCCAAATTATTTAAAGCGTTATTGTGAAGAAGACTTAACTGATGTGACTTCACTTATCACCAGTATCAAGGGACATCCGGAGAATTGAGAACGACAAAATCATACAAAAAACTAAACTGAATTTAATGGACCTGCTCAATGTGTTTTAGTCGACTTCTAAGTTAAAACCGACGTGCGAAACATACATCGTTAACGTCTATTCAAGTCTGCAAATAAACGGATCACCGCTCTTGCAAAACCAGGCGATAAAGCACAGTCTGTACCTTTTATTTCCATTGAGAGATACCAATCAGGAGCCTTTCAACCGACGGATACCTGGTGATACCAGACCCCGAATAAAATAAGGAGTTTGGAAGAGAAGCCTAGCAGAGATAATCAGAACCATGGTAGTTTGTCCAGTCTAACAAGAGAAGAGAGAACGCTGGTATAGTGTTGAAGTGGAATTGGGGTGAAGACAGGGACGTGTTTGACACATCTACAAGATACAAGAAGTTTTATACATTGTCGTATATGGCATAACATTGAAACATTAGCTCTGTGGAGCTTTTTTTACGACAAACATCTCCCTATAAGAATTGTCTGACAAGAGTAGGACTGTTATTTGTATAGTTCTGTTAGGTCTATTATTAGAAACTCCGGTATAGAGTTTGGGACAGAGGGCCACTTGGTTTAACCACCTAAAGGATTAAGTATTGTATGGCATTGCAGCGAAGCTAGCTGAAGGATCCCTGTCCCACTGCACTGTGGTTTTTCGTATAGATATATACAGTAACCTCCACTTGATATCCTTTTAGTTATAACTGAAGCACAGTTGGGCAAAGACACTTCCGCTGACCACGTGGTTACGTCGGTTATAGCGATATAATGACAATATGAAGTCCATGGTTGCAATCCCAGGCTATCACCGCTGAATACTTACAATCATAACACTGTTGTTGAGTATATTTTGTTTCTCATGTTTTATCTTTCCATAAAAGTCCTGTGATGTACAAATGTATGGTATCCGTTTCAGAAATGCTTTATAAAGCAGTTTCAAAAGAGTCGTTTAAGTTTTTGGCAGTGGTATGGGGATCCTGAAATGAACCTTGTACATTCGTTACACCTGTAAAATCCCCACTTTTGTCTATACTTACATTTTATGTGTGCGTGTGTGTTACCTTGACGAATATTTTAGAGCAGGTCTCTGTAGTAAGAACGATAACTCCTTGTAGAGTCAAGTAGTCTATCTTTGGATTGCGTTTCTTCCTACAAAGGTATACATTCCAATATCCCCTTAACTCCTGAGTAGCTTCTCCATTTAAAAGACATTTTATTTGCGAAAATATATGCAGTATATTTTAATACTGATAACTTTTACTTTATTAATTTCGTTCATTTTTGCTATTCGATTAATCTTAAAAAAATATTTTAAAATATTATTGTTTTACCGCAATTCGAGTTTCTAAATGAGGAATATGTAACAGCCATAAATGTAAAACAAATCCCCTTTATGTGAATATGATATTATATTAAGGGATGCAGGTATCCCTTTATTGTGAAAATGGACTCTTAAGACATAAATGTGTGTGGGGGGGGGGGGGGGGGGATAATATTTCCTCTTTGTTAAAACAAAGAGTATTTGTTGATAAAGTTCTAAGCTACAAATACCCCCTTAATATAAAAATGTCCTTTTTATTGAAAAAAACAAATCGGAGGGCGATTAAATATTAAATGAAACGTTGCACGTTTCCTGTTGCCATGCAGGTACATTTGTAATATATTGTCCCCCGAGTTATTTAGCACAGTTTTAATGTGAGGATTAATCAGCAAGGTGACAGTAACCGTTTTGAGTAAGGTAGCTCTTCATCAGTTCTGGAATAAGTACTGGTAGTAGTCTAACCTAGTTCTGCAGACAAACTTCATCAGTTTTTATCTTAGACCCCTAATAGAATTTAGTTATAATTTAGTTATTTTTGAAAGCATACAATGTGATTCTAAAGATTTTGTATTATGCAGTCATTGGCGTTTATTTATATTTATTTATGATTTGCTTAGTCCTAATATATATTCTATAGTATTTTTCTATACATTTGCTTGTCGACAAGATCAGGGTTATTTCCATACATATGTATTTATACGGGGATTTTATACCCATTGTCTTAAGAACTTTTTTAAATCTATTTATTTAGTACACCTTTTTAATTACATGTTTGTATGTACTTTTTTTACTGTTCCTTGCGTGACCTTTAGTTTTTGAATGCGTACATACTGGTACATACTAACGCATGTCTTTAAACAAAGATTGCACGGCTATTATTTACAGACATGGCAGAGTTATGTACACTTCATCAAAAGCTACATGTTCTAAAAAATACTTGTCATTTTGAAAATTACTTGGATATTTGAAGTGATAAAGATAAAGTTACATTTTGTAAATTTAGGAATACCAATCAAAAGTTGTTTGTCGAAACCCGTAGATGGCATGATATTGATTATAATGGAAGTCCATTACTTGCTTGAGAATTTTATATATAGATAAATATTTTTGGATGAGACCAAATGTAATTAAGTTCTATGATTTAATGAATACTACTAATATAAAAACACTGAAGAAACTTTGAACTTTTATCAGAATAGTTAATAACAATATTTGTCCTCCTTGATACAAATTTGCATTTATTATGAAACAGTATATGTACTGAATACTACGGACTGCTGTGGCAGTGAGTATTTTGTTTATATATAGTTTGATTAAAATCTTTCAGGCTTTCTATATATCACCATAGTGGTAATATAAGTATTCATTATTTTGCACTTTTATATAATGTATCTCTAGGCGCTATCTATTTTAATACATGTACTTGTCAAACCTGTTTGTGCAGTTCACATGTCCACCTGAGTATTTTTCACCTGTATTGTATTGTCATGTTAATGTATTGTCACGTGATTGCGTGGTGTTCGTACGTGTACCCGTGAGTTTTACTGGCATTCCTGCACATGTAACACGCTCGTGTACGACCTATACCTACAGACTATGAATTGAATAGTGCAGCAATATGGTACACTACGAACACTACAATGACTGTATATTTTATTGTAAATATGTTTCTCTATCCATTGTATTGTGAAAGAGAATAACGTTGAATTGAATTGTTCTCCATATAACCGAAGCTGTTGCGAGGAAATAAAGCCAAATCAAATCATCATGTTGTTTTCATATCCCACTTTTGTATATACTAATAATAATAAAATCTATTAACTGTAACTGAGCGAGATCATGTTATCTCAGTCGAGGGTTAAGATTCTGTAACAATACGTCTCGGTTGGGATGTTACATAATCTTAGCCCGAGACTGAGATAACCCAATCTTGCTCAGTTACAGGTAATTGATTTTTTTTCTCGCACCTTTTAGTTCGAAAAAAACTATTAAATTTTGCTAAAAACTACAAGTATCCCGGCTGGGCATCACATGATAATGACCTCTTCACTACTTAAGCTACATCTCAACGCTTCCGGGTTAAAATGTAGTCTGTCCTTACATAGATGACAACTTATTTCACAGTGTAGATTATATTCTCTCTACAATATCAAATATATGGCAACATAAAAACTACACATTTAACAACAGAACAGAACATTTATAATGCAAAATGTCAATTTTAAGCAGTTAACGCGCGGATGAATACATCGCAGTGTAAAAATTACTTGAAATGTCACGTAAAGCTACAAGACAGATCGGACGAGATAGAAAAATCTAGAATGGGGTTTGACGTGGGATATCTCTGTCAGAGGTGCGAGAATGTAATACTCCACCTTAAATATTACAAAAAAGGTAATAATCCCACTTTTGTATATGATAATAATGTAATCATCCCACCTTAAGTATACAAAAAATGTTATACCCCACACTTCGTATACTGATTGTGTAATATCCCACACTTTGTATACTGATTGTGTAATATCCCACACTTTATAAACTGATTGTGTAATATCCCACACTTTATAAACTGATTTTGTAATATCCTACACTTTATATACTGATTGTAAAATATCCCACACTTTATATACTGATTGTGTAATATCCCACACTTAACATATATACTGATTATAAAAATATGTGAAATATGGCACACTTTGTATACTTATAGTGTAATAACATATCTTAAGCATACCAATAGTCCTACACTTTGTATACTTATAGTGTAACATCTCACCTTAAGTATACCAATAGTCCAACACTTTGTTTACTTATAGTGTGATATCTCACCTTAATTATACCAATAGTCCCACACTTTATATACTTATAGTGTGATGTCTCACCTTAAGTATACCAATAGTCCCACACTTTGTATCCTTCTAGTGTAATATCTAACCTTTAGTATACCAATAGTCCCGCACTTTGTATACTTATAGTGAAATATCTCACCTTAAGTATAACAATAGTCCCACGCTTTGTATACTTATAGTGTGATATCTCACCTTAATTATACCAATAGTCCCACACTTTGTATACTTATAGTGTGATGTCTCACCTTAAGTATACCAATAGTCCCACACTTTGTATCCTTCTAGTGTAATATCTAACCTTTAGTATACCAATAGTCCCGCACTTTGTATACTTATAGTGTGATATCTCACCTTAAATATACCAATAGTCCCACACTTTGTATACTTATAGTGTAATATCTCACCTTTAGTATACCAATAGTCCCGCACTTTGTATACTTATAGTGTGATATCTCACCTTAAATATACCAATAGTCCCCCACTTTGTTTACTTATAGTGTGATATCTCACCTTAATTATACCAATAGTCCCACACTTTGTATACTTATAGTGTGATGTCTCACCTTAAGTATACCAATAGTCCCACACTTTGTACACTTACAATTTAATATCTCACCTTAAGTATACCAATAGTCCCACACTTTGTATACGTATAGTGTGATATCTCACCTTAAGTATACCAATAATCCCACACTTTGTATACTAATAGTGTGATATCTCACCTTAAGTATACCAATAGTCCCACACTTTGTATACTTATAGTGTAATATCCCATCTTTTGTATACTGATAGTTATAGATTATCACACATCTTTTTCAGTATCACCTGCGGTGGCCTCTCAATTTGACCCACGAGCTCGCGATGAGAAAATTGTTCGGAAGGCAAACACTGAAAATACTGTGTGACAAATTGTTTATCATCTATATACCACTAACTTAAATATTTCTCCATTTTAAAAAGTCAACTAAACACCATATTTTCCAAATGACTTCTAGGCTCAATGGTCATCGATTGCAAATCCTCGGTCTGTGACAAATGTAAACAAACAGAAGATTTGCGCGGAGGAATAACATGTACCTTAAATTTAAAAAAAATAGTTCTAAAACGAGTTTATCGTCATTGGCTTTTCCATATGCGAATTTACGCTTAAAATTATGTTACCCTCCGGTTCTTTTCGTTACTTTATATTGATTTGTTTATGACGGACTATTTTCGGACTATTTTCTTACGCCGATCACTTTGTTGTTGATACTATCCCGGTTCAGGACGTCACCTGGCGCGAGCAGACGTTCTTGTTTCAGAAAATACGTTCCAAAATCCCGGGATATTGGAAAATCCGTTTTCAAGTTCTTCTCAAGTCGTTCTCAACTTCTTGAGTCATTTCATACTGACAATCCATGATAATGAATTGATCATGCTACCGGTAGGTGGTATAAAGTTGCATGTAGATGATAATGTAATATCCCACCTTTTGTATACTTATGCTAATCATGCTTATAATACCACTTAGTTTGTTTTCGATGTGTAACAACATTCATTGTGACGTCATAAGGAGCACTAAGATGACAATGTCATAAATCCCCGGTGATTGACATTATTGGTAACGCTGTCTACGTGCTTTGTAATTTTCTCTGCATAGACATCAAGTTTTAACCAAACATGTGCTATTTTCCATGATAACAAAAACACCTCATACAAATATCTATATCTATGAAGAATCTAAAAGTTGTACCCATATTAGCGGAGGCTTGTTGCATAGAAGTATACGGCAAGAGAACTAGTTCGAGATTCTCTATGTGAAGACTGGATTTTCATGAAATGTATAGCACTATCCCAATACAGCCACCGTTCAAAGCGTTTTAACATAACTTTTCTTATTTATGATTATCCGATTTTTCATTTGTATATTGAAGAAGGGGAATGAAACTGGTATGAATAATAAATAATAGTGACATATATACGGTGAGGACTAGAAATTGAAAAGGGACAGGTTAAGTGCTATACCAGCGTTTGACATAGTATTGAGACAGGAAAACGGAACAATTATGAAACAGTCTTGAATTCTGTCGCTAAGCAAGGTTTAAAATGATGTAAAAGACGTTCTGTGTGATAAAATTTGAAATTGAACGCCGTCTTTTCTTGGTTGTTTCAACTGATTCGTGCAACTTAGTTTCCGAACACGTGATATTTGTATTGTCGTTTTTCTCAATACACGATATGTAGTCTTCAGTATCCACTCATCATTTGAAATAGTAAGATTTGTTTGTGTGATGTCATTTAACTTTCAAATCATAACGTTCTACATTGACATCCATACATAGGAACTGGAGTCAATCTTATTAAAGTGAAATCGTTGGCGCCATTCCTCTGTGATACACAGTTCTGACAACACTGTATCAGGGGTCATGATCTGGTGACCTTTGGTTCAATACCCGGATGCTGAGGTGTTATCCGATGCAACTTTCGAATACTGATTGATTAGAGTAAAACGCCAGCAGAACGTGCCCCCTATCGGGATGTTGGATCATTCACGATTTGCGTTATAGAGCGACTTTTGAACCGTTTTATTTCTGCATTGGTTACAATTGGTTACAATTGCAATACCTTGAAATATTTTTTTTTAAAATCCGGACTCAACTTTTTGAAACCTGCTATGCTTACCGTACGACAGCATAGCGCAAAATTTCGAAATAGAACTTATAAAATATGCAAATAAAACTAAAATGTTCTGAACAATTCTAAAACAATATCCAAATACCAAACGGGCTTGAATATTTGTAAAATTACACATACAATGTAGTTTCCAAATATCGTTTTTAAAATATATCAAAGTTTGATTCATATTAAACGCGTCGCAAGGTTTCAAGACCGACTGGTCCCTTGGACAAGCTATGACTCATGATTGACTCACTCAGTCATAGTTTGACACCGGGACCAGTCGGTCTTGAAACGTTGCGACACGTTTAACACATACATTGTATATAAAATAAAACTTTCATATTACATATTTCGTAACTGATTAATTTCATTGAAGATTTGTGTTAACATTCTCAAAGCAGATCATGCCTTGACCGATTGGATTCAGTTTACGTCTTCACTAAAGGTATATCACAAAAACCTCCCTAAATCAACCAATGAGAAATGTTTTCATATAACCCCCTTCCACAATGTATAAGACTAGTGAGGTATTTTATAAACCCTCTGATGCTGTCTGTTGTTCCTCACTATACGGAGTCGCTGTGACAAAAATCTTATTGTTCTACAACCCTTACTACCTTTAACAAAACACAACGCCTTCCTTTGGATTCTCGATCGTCAAATCGTCCGTTATGTAGAAAGTTATGAATGACATCATGTGACGGGTAACAGTGAGGCAATGTTCCATTTCCTCTGCCTGGAAACAGAAGGGGGGGGGGGGGGGGGGGGGGGGGGGGGGGGGTAAGGTAAGGGTATCACCTGTTTTCCAGTCTACAAAAAGAGCATGACCTGACGTACATTGTACATGTAATTATACAAAATCATGTTGTGCTGGGATCGGACCAAGCTCGCCATTTCTTTGAAATAACGTCGGAGGTATGTAGGAAACATGTTGGGACTACTTTTGATCACATGACAAAGATGGCAGCATACCGGTACACATGCAAGAAGACGAAGGGAGTATTAGTAAATGCAACATATGTACAAGTGGCAAGAAGGCCTTTGGAAATGACATTATAGTGATATTTATTCTATGTCATAGGTTTCGATTTTTCAGGCATTCATATAACGATTTTTGAACATTTACTTGCTTCTCATTAAAATCAATCTTAAAAGACATATTTGAGTGATCTAGATCTCACCATATTACCAACGAAACATCAGCGTAATGGTTTTTAATGGTGAGAAATTTTTCAAAAACATAACGCTTAAATATTTTGAA